CGACTTTGACACTTTTGAAGAGAATTGGTCAGGTATTTTGTTAGACTATCCTTTATTTTTATTTTTTTTTTAATTTTTTATTGTTTATTTATTCTTGACAGAGAGAGAGAGACAGAGCATGAGCAGGGGAGAGGACAGAGAGAGAGAGGGAGACACAGAATCAGAAGCAGGCTCCAGGCTCTGCGCGGTCAGCACAGAGCCTGACGCGGGGCTCGAACTCACAGACCGTGAGATCATGACCTGAGCTGAAGTTGGATGCTCAACCGACTGAGCCACCCAGGCGCCCCTTGTTAGACTATCCTTTAATTTAGGTTTGTCTGATGTCTTCTCAGGGTTAGATTGAAGACTTTCATTTTTTAGCAATATACAACAGAGGTGATATGCTCTTCCCAGTACACGACCCCAGGGGATGCATGATATGTCTTCTTACTGGCGATGGTAACCTCGATCACTTGGTTAAAGTGGTATCTGCCAGTGTTCATTGAATTTTAAATGTTAAACCTTCCTTATATTTTCAGAATAAACTCAAATTGGTTACATTTTTTCATATATTTTAGGCTAATATTTTGAAAGAATGTTTGTTTCTATGCTTGTAACAAAGTTTGGACTGTAATTTTCCTTTTCTGAAGATCTTTGTCAGGATTTAAGGTTAAGTTGGCTTCATAAAACAAGGTAGTAATTGTTACCTCTTTATTCTCTAGGAGAGTTTATGGTTTATGTAAGATTGTTGCTATTTCTTCCTTAAATTCTTGAAGAAATCACTAATGAAGTTATGTGGGGGCTGGAGTTTTCCTTGAGGAAGGAAAGGTTTTAAATTATAGATTTGATATATATAGGACTAGATTTCTATTTACCCTTGTCTCAGGTTTACTAGTGTCCTTTTTCACATTTATTTATTGTTGAGAGACACAGTGCAAGCAGGGGAGGGGCAGAGAGAGAGGGAGACACAGAATCTGAAACAGGCTTCAGGCTCTGAGCTGTCAGCACAGAGCCCGAAGTGGGGCTCGAACTCACGGACAGCGAGATCGTGACCTGAGCCGAAGTCGGACGCTTAACCGACTGAGCCACCCAGGCGTGGCTCACTAGTGTCCTTTTTCACACTTACTTATTGTTCAGAGACAAAGAGAGACAGAGCGCAAGCAGGGGAGGGGCAGAGAGAGAGGGAGACACAGAATCCGAAGCAGGCTCCAAGCTCTGAGCTGTCAGCACAGAGCCTGACGTGGGGCTCGAACCCACAAAGCATGAGATCATGACCTGAGCCGAAGCTGGACACTCAACTGACTGAGCCACCCAGGCACCCTAAAGTGTCCTTTTTGAAGAATTTATTTCCTATTTTCAAATGTGTTGGCAGAAAACTTTTCAAGATATCCTCATAGTCTTTTTTTTTGGTGGGCTCCATGCCTAACATGGGGCTCAAACTCAGGACTCCCGAGATCAAGAGTTGGCATGCTCCACCAACTGAGACTGCCGTGTGCCCCTCCTCGGATTCTCTTGTAAATGTATTACTGTGGCGAGGTGCTCTTTTTCATTCCTGATATTGATACTTTGTTTCCCATTTTTTTCTCAACTATTCTTGGTAGAGGTTTATCTATATTAATTGATCTTTTTGTAGAACCAACTTTTGGGTTTGTTGATTCTCTCATTGTACATTTGTTTACTATTTCATTAATTTTCTGCTTTTATCTTTCTTATGTTTCTACTTCCTTGGGTTTAATCAGCTGAGTTCCCCCTTCCCCCTCCATTTCTTGAGATAGATTCTTATATAACTGATTTTTAGCTTTTCTTCACCATTTGCGTTTAAAGGTACAAATTGCCGTCTCTACCCAAGCACAGCTTGAACCGGGTCCCACCTGTTTTGATATATTTTTATTATCATTTAGTCAAAATGTTTTTTCTCATTTTTCTTTGACCCACAGATTATTTAGAAGTTTATTTTCTGAAATTGTGAGGATCTTTCTAGGCATTTCTTGCTATTGATTTCTAGCTGACTTTTACTCTGGTCATAGATACATAAATTGTCCCAAAGAAAACAAATGGAAAAAACACTTACCATTCATTTTACGAGGGCAGTTTAACCTTAATACCAAAACCTGACAAAGATATTATAAGGGGGGGTGGGGAGGGAAGGAAAGGAAAAGATTATTTAAATCTTCTGAGATGTGTTGAGATTTGTTTACGAATCAGCATATAGCCAATTTTGGTAAATGTACCATGTGTAATCAAAACTATAAAACTGTATCCTGCAGTTGTGTGCAGCATTCTATACATAATAAGTAGATCACATATGCATTTGTTAATTGTATTATTCAAATTCTTTATATCCCTATAGTTGGTTTTTGTTTTCTGCTGCTTCTTCTAAAAGTTAACGAGAGAAGTGAAAGGTGTATTAAAATGTGCCATTTTGGGGGCACCTGGCTGGCTCAGTCAGTAGAGCATGTGACTCTTGATCTCAGGGTCATGGTTTTGAGCCCCACAGTGGGCATGGACATTACTTTAAAAAAAAAAAACCTTTTATTTAAAAAGTTCCATTTTTCCTTTTAGTTCTGTCAATTATTACATTATAAAATTTGAGGATGTGTTATTAGGTACAATGAAGAATTGCTATATCCTTCAGATGGACTGACATTTTTATCCTTATGAAATGTACTACTTTATTTCTTGTAAAGCTTCTTGCCTTAAACAGTGTCTGATATTAGTATAAACACCCGTTTTCTTTTAGTTAGAAATATATTTCTTACTCCTTTTACTTTTATTCTTTCTGTATGCTTATATTTGGGTGTAGGGGTATGTTTATTTTTAATCCAGTCTCACAATGTTTATCTTTTAATTAGAACTCTTAGTTTACATTTAATACACTTACTGACATATTTGGATATAAATCTTTGATGTTTTTTCTCAAAAAAAATTTTTTAATGTTTATTTATTTTTGAGAGAGGGAAGGGCAGAGAGAAAGGGAGACACAGAATCTGAAACAGGCTCCAGGCTCTGTGCCGCTCGAACTCATGAATGAGGAGATCGTGACCTGAGCCGAAGTCGGGTGCTTAACCAACTGAGCCACTCAGGTGTCCCAAATCTACCATGTTTTAATTTTTTAGTTGTTACAATTGTTCTGTTTTCTTTTCCCCTTTCTTAACTTCTTTGGAATAAAATATTTATTATTATTATTTCATTTCCCTCTTCTATGAACTAGTCATTGATTCTTTTATCATGTTTATTGGTTAGTCTAGACCTAAAGATTACAACATGCATCCTTGACTTATTAAAGTCCAATTAGTATTTTTTTTCAATTCATGGAAAAGGACATTGGAATACTTTAACTCCTTTTTCCACTTACATTTTGTGTATTGTTACATACTTTAATTCAACATATATTCTATACATATATATTTATACAGTCAATACTAATTTAGATTCCCTCACATGTCTACTCTTTACAGTGCTCTTTATCCCCTTCTTCATCTTCTTGCTTCCATTTGGAATTCTTTCCTTCTACCTGAAAAACTAGTTTTCCCACTAGTGTCTGTCAGCAAGCTCTAAATCATTTCAGTTGTTTGGCTGGTAATTTTTTTCGATTTCATTTCTGAACGATTTGTTTTCATTTTTGAACGATACTTTCTCTGGGTATAGAATTTTTAGGTTAGTAGATATTTTCCTTTAGCCCTTGATTTTTGTTTATCCTTTTGAATATAAACTATTGACCACTATTTACCAATATTTACAACAAAGTAAACAATATATAGTTGGATAACATTCTGATGATTGCTTTTCCTGGTTTCTGCTGAACCAGGGACTCAAATACTGAGAAGATTGGGCTGGGGTAAAGAAAACACATGTAGGTCAAGAATTTACAATGCGGAAGTTTGTCCCTCCATTTATTCCAGCAGGTGCTAAACTGTCAACATTTCTAACCGTCTGATTATGATTACGTTTCCATGAACAAAGTCTTAGACATTCCATAAATTGTGACCTTTTAGTCAATATCGCAGAGATTTCAACCTCTTGCAAAGGAATGATTCACCAGAAGGAAACTTTAAATGTCCACGTAACTAAGTTTTGCTTACCTAATTTAAACACACCAGGACTTGTCTAGTTTTCTCATGTGGGTGGGGAGGTTGCTGGTAATGCTAAAATTTTTCTTTCAGGGATCTTGCAAATAAACTTGCATTTATATGACTATAGATATGGATATGGATTCTGATATGGCTACTTTTAAATTGCCCAATTTAAATTGTTTACGGTATATTTAAATTGTCCAATTAATTATGAAATTTTAAAAGTTAAGGCCTGTTCAGGAAAAATTTCAATTTACTTTAAGTGATTTATATCTTAGGTTGCTGAAAATGACGGTATCCCAGAAACATGGGCTTATCCATGGTCATGAAATTCTGCTTTTGTTTGAGTGAATGTTTTTTTTTTTACAAAGAAAACCATTTATGTATGTATTTTTATGTATACACTCACACACACACACACACACACACAAAAACAAATAAACAAAAAGCCCAGAATTGTCCTTATGCATGTAGGAATTAAACACAAATTCTGGTTGAGTACCAACTATGAAGATTTCCCCCAGCATTAAGAAAAGGTGCTCTCTAATGCAGGGGAATAATATACCATGGTCTCAAATATTCTTTTCTGATAAAGGAAGCAACTATAGGAAGCTTTTATTTATTCAAAGTAACCAGTGCTAGAGATGCAAAAAATCCCTAACAACTCCCCCAAATGATATATCATTGAGCTTCATCTTCTAGACAAGAATGACAAGTTAATCTCTCTTCATAAAAAAGAATTACAATTTGGGGTGCCTGGGTGGCTCATAAAAAAGAATTACAATTTGGGGTGCCTGGATGGCTCATAAAAAAGAATTACAATTTGGGGTGCCTGGGTGGCTCAGTCGGTTAAGCGTGGACTCTTGATTTTGACTTGGGTCATGATCCCACGGTTCGTGAGATCAAGCCCTGCGCTGGGCTCTGCACTGATAGTGAGGGGCCTGCTTGGGATTCTCTCTCTGTTCTTCCCCCACTTGTTCTCTCTCTCTGTCTCAAAAGAAATGAACTTTAAAATAAAGAAAATGCAATTATAATTTGAAGACGCTTCGTATTTGCCTCCTTTGCCAACGCCGACTCTGCCTCTTCTGAATTTTTCCATTTCATGAGAAATGTGAATTCTCCACTGCTGTCTGCAGCACCAATTATTTGTTCAGGATCAAGACCTCTGGCAAAGCCTGTTGGTTTATCAGCAGCACCTCTTTTCTTCTTGGATTTGCCATCATCAGATTCACTGTTGGATAAAGAGTCTTTTTTTGTACCGTCTTTTTCTTTACCAGCTTTTTGAGAATTAGGAAATGCTTCAATTAACTCTGGACAATCTAAATTTTCTTCAAGCTCCCAAGTATTGTCAACATCTGTAAATCCCTTCCACCTCAGGAAATACTCCATCTTCCCATTTACTACTTTCTCCACCACAAATTCTTCCGGCTCTGCCTCTTCTACTTTACTCTTTCCTTTCTGTTTCTTTCCCACTTTTTGCAATGTAGTTTTATTAGAGGCCATTTTTTATTGCAGGCGTTCAGGGCTATTTTTCACTGCCTCTAGGCTGCTTCAGGTCTCAGGTCTGCAGCGTCACTGGCCCTGTGCACCTCAAACTCCAGCCACATCCTTTCTTTTGGCCTTTTAAAGATATCATTTCATTATTTTTTGGCTTCCATTGTTTTTATTGAAAATTTGGCTGTCTTATTTTGTGCCCCTGAACAAAATGTGTTTTATTATTTTTTTATACTAACTTCATTTACAGTTTTTGTCTTTAGTTGTTTTTTACCTATTTTACAATGATGGGTCTAGTTGTAACTTTCTTTGTATTTATCTGTGCCTCTATGTCTTTTATCAGTTTTTAAATCCTTAGATTATTTGCTCTTCAAATATTGTTTATGCTACACACTCTCTCTCCTTTTCTTCTAGGACTCTAATTACACAAATGTCTACACCGAATCCCATATATCTCCCAGTCTTTCTTTTTGGTATTTCTTTTTTTTTTTTTTTTTTTTCAACTTTTATTTATTTTTGGGACAGAGAGAGACAGAGCATGAACGGGGGAGGGGCAGAGAGAGAGGGAGACACAGAATCGGAAACAGGCTCCAGGCTCCGAGCCATCAGCCCAGAGCCTGACGCGGGGCTCGAACTCACGGACCGCGAGATCGTGACCTGGCTGAAGTCGGACGCCTAACCGACTGCGCCACCCAGGCGCCCCACTTTTTGGTATTTCTTAAAAATCTTATCCTGCTGTAATTGTAGTGAAGTCCACATATTTTTTTCTAGTCTATATTCAAGTTCATGAATCATCTCTTCAGTTGAGTCTAATCTGCTTTGAAATCTTTCCTCTGAGTTCTTAATTTCAATCCTAGAAGTTTTATTAGATTATTCTTAAAATATATTCAACATATCTGTTTAAATTACAACATTTTTTTTCTTTTGGTTTTCAGTCATTTGTTCCTAGCTCCTGTTATGCCTGGTGTTGTTGTTATTGTTATCATCTATTTGTTTAATGCCAGACACCATATGAAAAATGTAGCGATAATTTGAGAGCCTGGATGATGTCATATTTCTCCGAAGAGGATTTGCTTTGCTTCTGGCAGGCAGCTAGCAAGGAGTATAACTTCTTAGTCTAATCGGAGATTGGTTTGATTCATATCTGAGTTACAGTCTCTGTGAGTGCTCGTCTATTTTCGGGCTAGCTTTATTACCAGGGTGTAGTCCCTCAAGGTTCCCAGCTGAAGACTGGGCCGTTTACCAGATCCCCTCCTTTTGGAAAGCTCTGAATCCCAATTTTTGTCTCCTTACCCCTGTAAGACTGCCAACAGTCCTGTTCAGCTGCTCAGCTTCTCTGTACTTAACTTATTCAGAATCATCAAATGTCTCTTGGGAGAAAGTAGCTGCATATATTAAGCTGCTCACCTCTCTTTATTTCCTTTTTCTCTAATACCTTAGACTCTGTCTTATATCTCTCCAATGCTTTCAAATAGATGTTTCTCACTTTTAATAAAATCTAGGGGTGCCTTGGTGGCTCAGTTGGTTAATCTTAAGTCCAGTGTCAGCTCAGGTCATGATCTCCCGGTTTGTCAGTTCGAGCCTTGCATCAGGGTCTCTGTTGTCAGTGCAGAGCACACTTCAGATCCTCTGTCCCCCTCTCTCTGCGCCCCACCCCCCCGCCCCACAACTCGTGCTCTCTCTCTCAAAAATGAATAAACATTTAAAAACAAAATCTGGGTTTTTCTAGTTGTTCTCATGTGGAGCATTGATCTGATACAAGCTAGTCCATAATAACTAGAAGCAGAAGTCTTCCCCTAATGGGTTTATAACTAGTACTGTTCCATATTATCATCCTTGGTTCCTGTCCTTGAGGAAATTTGCTTCAGTCCTGGTTGCTATAATGAAAAATATCAGGACAGCAAGAAAAAAAAATTGATGCCTTTGATTTTGAATATTATTTTTTCAAGCACATCTTATAACATCAACAATAATAACTGACAATTATTGGGTGTTTGTTTTGGGCCAGGAAATGTCCTAGTATGTTACATGTATGAATTCATTTAATGGGATACAGTGAGAGTCCAGTGCTATACATATTCATCAATCATAGAATTTGACCAAGGGGGGACCTGGGTAAAAGATGACATATAATTCACAAACACAACACAACAATTCAACAAACACAGCCAAGGACCAACTAAGAAAAAAGTTTAGATGTTATCTAGGCTATCAGATGACAAGGAATGCACACACAAAATGGTAGGGTACAAGCCTCAAACTATTTCCCCACTAGTCTTTTTCTAGTGGGAAATACTAACAAAGTTAGTTTATAGCAAAAGACTAATAATAAACAAGGATATTTTCCACTTGTGTGCTCCCTGGTGGAGGTGATAGGGAAGAAGTAACAGGAGAAGAGAGAACAACCAAGATCTTATGTCAACTGTCCCTGGGTGTCAAGAATCAGTTTTATTTGCATTCAATAGACATCAAGTAATTGCAGGTTTAGGTCACAGAAATGAGTTGGGTGACCAATATAAGAATGGGATGGTGGTGATAGGGTATTAATGGCCCAAGACCCTGCCAAGGAGAAGTGAAAGGGATATTTAGGCTATTTGCCCAAAAACCAGAAATGTACACCCAACACCGTGTTCTGGCATGGCAGAACATGGCAACCTCACTCCCAACTTCAGCTCTCAGCCAGACACCCTCTAGGGCCTAGCACTCCTCACCCCTTTGTATCCTTGAGCCTAGGTGATAAACAATATGGGCCTCCTTCCTGCTGTTGGATGAAATTCTATTTAGCATCCTCTGCACTCCAAAGAATTTTATTTCCACCATTGGAAGCAGTCTGAGGTGGGTAACACAGAAGTTGTAGAATAAGTCTCCCTTGGTTCAAGTTGTGGCTCTTACTGTCACTTAGGTGACTTTGGGAAAATTATTTAACCTCTCTGAGCCTCAATGTCCTCATTGTGAAATGGAGATGATAATAATAATCAAGATGCTATGGGATAATGCTAGTGAAGTGCTTGGCCAAAACCAGGCCAAACCAAAACAAAACAAAACAAAAGCAAAATAAAGGTTAGGTATGGCCATTATTTAACTTAATTTAGGGTCCTGGAGTGGGTAGGAAGGTCTTAGACTATTGTCATAGGATTCCTCACTTGAGAGGCAGCCTCAGAGTGTTGTGGGAGGGGAAGAAGTGGAAAACAGGAGATTCCTTGGTTCTATGGGGGAGCAGGAGTTTACTCCAACAGCGATGGTGCTCCTAAGGCTGGTTTCCAGACTTTTGTGGGGAAATGTTGCACAAATGTATGAATATGGGAAGCCATTAGCCAGGTTTCCTATTTTCACTTCTCCCTCAGAAGAAACTGGTTCTATTTTAGAGACATCACAGGTCTCATCTTCCCTTCACCGCCACCCCCCTCCCCCCCCCCCCCCCCCAGGAATACTGAGGCTCCCATGGTCTTAGGTTGATCATAAATAGATGACGCCTCCTACCCTTGTGATCAGAAGTGCTGCTTCATGGAGCTCAGGGGTCTCTCACTCACCAAAATCTCTCCTCAGTAAAGTATTAAACATCAATTATTTAGTTCTTAACGTGAACTGAATTAATGTGTCATTTACCCAAGCGTATTTGCATTTTATGCCTACTGTTGCTCCGGAATGAAAGCCCAGAAACAACAGTAAGAAAAGGAGATCTAGAACAGCCATCTTACAGACGTCAGAAGATGCCACCCCCCTCCCATCCCCAGTTTCGGTTCTCATTAGCTGTGTAGCTTTAGGTCATTTCTTTTTTCTCTATTGTCCTTGACATCCTCATTAAAGGGTCTCAAAGTTCCTTCCAACTTGTTTGAGTGGTATTATTTGGAGGACCTAAAGCCAACCCAGAAATCACCCGCAGGCATATACACTCACCCTATACCCAACCTGACCCAGGAAGCTTTGAACACAGTCAGTGTGCCTTCTCACCCATCATGCCCCAGCCCCATGTGAGTCTTCTCCACTCCCCTTACCTTCCCCTGGGGACAGGGCCTCACCTAAGCTGGGCTCTGAGGGTGATGGTAACCAGCCCCCACTCCAGCCTGGCTATGCAGTCCCCTCCCCCTCCCAATCCCCATTTCCTGTCTAGCAGATTTACAACACAGTTCAAAGAAGGAAGGATGATATAACAGCTTTCCTGCTATGCTCCCTCTCCCAACTGACTTAGTCTAACTGGCACAGGGCCAAGTGGTTTTGTTCTCCACAGCCTCCCATAAGTAAAAATACTCCAGGCCCCAGCCCTCCTGCCTGTGACATGGCGTCAGCTCCCAAACCCACTGGTCAGGCTTTCGTTCGTGGGCGGGAAGGAGGCAGCCCTGTGCAGTGCTGGAGTCTAATTAAGTGCTGAGGAAGTAAACCATGGGCTTCAATTTTAGTTCTGAAAATAGCTATGGCCTAGGACTCCTCTCTCTGGCCTGAGCTGAGAGACTTCTCCCGCTGCTTATCCTCCTGTGGCTGGGCTTCAGGGTTTGCAAAGGGAACCTAGGTGCTAGAGGAGAGGACAAGGGTCCGAGGAGCAGAGGCAGCCCTTGGAGGCCCAGGGGTTTAGAAGTCAGTGGGAGAAGCACACGTCAGGGAAAAGGGGATTCGAGCCCAGGGGCATAGGACTATTTATTCCATACCCTCCATCCCTACTTTGCATCCTAGTCCCTGCCTCTAGAATGTGCTGATGCTCAGGCTGCAGGGAATCCAGAAGTTCTGGGTCCCACTGTATGTACCTCCGGAGCCCCATGTGGCTAAGAATGCTAAGCTCTGGCCAATGTTGAGGTAATTCTCTAGGCAGATCATAGAATACACATCACAATTTCGCATATAATCAATCCTCTTGGGCAATGAGAATGAGGAAAAACATCAACAAATGGATATGTGGAAATAAAAGCTTCTGCAAATCAACTGAATGTCCAACTGGCTCAGTTAGCTGGGATCCTGCACATCTTCCTGTCTGCCTCTCTGCCTGGGAGGAGAGAATCAGCCTGCTGAGGGAGACAGGCCACCCACATGAGTCCAGATGAAGAGGGGCAGGCCATGTGAACTAATGCAAAGTCCAGAGGGGTCACCAGCTTTGCCATTTGGTCATTCACCACATCCTAGCTCTTCTCACACTATATGGTCATTAGCTGTCGTCTCCACATTAGACCATGGACATGGGCTCTGTATTCTTTCCTTCCTTCCCCCACTACCCAGGGCACAGCAGGTATCTCATTTAAGATGCTTTTGTTGGGGCGCCTGGGTGGCGCAGTCGGTTAAGCGTCCGACTTCAGCCAGGTCACGATCTCGCGGTCTGTGAGTTCAAGCCCCGCGTCGGGCTCTGGGCTGATGGCTCGGAGCCTGGAGCCTGTTTCCGATTCTGTGTCTCCCTCTCTCTGCCCCTCCCCCGTTCATGCTCTGTCTCTCTCTGTCCCAAAAATAATAAATAAACGTTAAAAAAAAAAAAAGATGCTTTTGTTCATCTTCAGCCTCCCCTTTTCAAT